TTCGATCCCCAGTACCAAAAATAAAATAAAATAAAATAATTAATTAATTAAAAAAGTTGGGAATGTAGCTCAATGGTAGAGTGCCACAGGGTATGATATTGGGTATCTCAAAAACAAAACAAAATAAAACAAAAAACATCTAGCTAATTTCTCTGAATATCACAGAAAAGGCTCTGAGGCACCTATATCATACTCCACCAAGAATGCCTGCAACACTTACAATGTCAATTATCTAACTGTTTGAGTGTATTATCCATTCAGTGAACTCACTAGTGGGTATGTTTATGTATAGTGCACAACAGAATTCTTTTTTTTTTTTTTTTTTTGTGGTACCAGGGATTAAACTCAGGACCTTGTACTTGCCAGGCAGGCTTAGTGCCATTGAGCTACATCCTGGGCCCTATAATGCACAATGATACGGTATAGTATCAGAGAAGAATTCTGTTTTCTCTCTGTACTGCAAATGTGTACTATAATTTAAAAATGGTACCTTAGGGGCCAGGAATTTAGCTCAGGCAAGGTCCTGAGTTCCATCCCTGGTACCAAAAAAAAAAAAAGTTTCTTAGTAATACAAATTGTATTAGGAAAATATAACTTTTCTTCCACTATACAGCTTTCTTTTCTAGCTTCTTAAAAGATTTTCATAGGTTTTCCCAATTACTGAGGAAACATTTAAACTTAATGTATGCAAAATAATAGCAGTAATGTATAATACACTCACACAATATAAGTATGAAATAAGACTGTATCAGAAATACGACTTTGGTGCCTCCTCTGTTCTCTTACTCAGACTCGCGTACAACTTAAAATTTTTTCCCTTTATGGAAAAATGCATGTACAAGTAGATTCACCGCAGTGGGTTTTTTCCATTGGCTCATAATGTTTTTTTGGTATTGGGATTGAACCCAGGGCCTTGCTTTACCACTGAGCTACAGGCCCAACCTCCCCAGCCTCTTTTTTTCTGTTTTTGAAATTTTAAAATTTTTTAATTTTTTTGAGAGAAAGTTTTGATAAATTGCAGGTGGTCTAGAACTTGCCCTCCTTCCTTAGCCTCCTAAACAGCTAGGATTATAGGCATGAGCACAGCACCCAGCTGGGTCATAAATTTTAAGTGAAAACTTTGCAAATCATAATAACATATATACAGGTGGTAAGAGTTCAGGTAGTGAGTGTTCTTGGAGGCCCACAATTCCAAACAAACACTACTATCTTCCCTTTCCAACTTGTTCTTTAACCTAATTTGAACTAGGATCCCTCTTTTCTATTCTTCATCACTAACCTGCCCCATAAGCTCCACAAAGTTCAGCTTAAGAAACACTCTTGGGGGCTGAGGATTTAACTCAGTGGTTCCACCACCTATCCTGCAAACGGAAGGACCCGAGTTCGATCCCCAGTACCAAAAAAAAGAAAAAAGAAACACTCGTGGCAGCACAACTCACATGACCCCGAGTGCCCCTCCAACTTCACCTTGTATGACTCTCCCAAGTGTAATCTGTGCTCCACTTATATGGAACCACCCAATATCATGCTTTTTCACACCACTACCTTCACCCATGACATTTCTCCTGCTAGGAATATTCTTCTCTCTACCTGGCAAACTTCAGGATTCAGTCTGTAAGTTGAATTCCCTATGGCATGCTTCTTCCATTCCTGTGCCAATGAGCCCTCCCCTCTGCTCACATAGCATCTTGTTCACCAAACAGGAGACAGCTGCATCTCCTATCTCTCCTGAACTGAACTGCCCTTCACAATGTCTCATCTGTCTGTATATTTTGTGACTGGAAGGGAAGCCCATAGTAGATGCTTGGTAACTATTTAATGAATAAATAAAAGCTAAGTTGAAATTTTTAAAGTTGTTTAATTCCCTTTCATCACCCAAGGAGTAGGAACAAGAGATTAGCTGGAAGTAATTTCTGGAGGGGGCAGGAATTAAATGAAGCCTTGAAAGATAAAGGACCAAGAGATCGAAGATGGTTACCTGTGTGTATCCTCACATGGTTTTTATAGTTGGTTGCACTGGCAAATGCCCTCCCACATCCTGGTTCTGTGCAGTAATAAGGTCTTTCTCCTGTGTGTGTCCTAACGTGTACTTTTCTGATATTTGATGTTGTAAAGGACCGACCACAGCCTTCAAAGGGACACTTAAAAGGTCTTTCTCCTGAAAATACAAAGGGGAATAAATTAAACAGTGCAAAGCTATGTAGAAAACTGAAATGTCCTTCTATTTTGCCTAGGACCATGTTTAAGACTCTAGTCTTCTTGAGTTGAGATTTCCTTTCAAGCATCTTCTACTCCAAACTTAAATTTACATAAGAAAACCAGAATGACATTAAAAACTTATTACTGATTACATGAGCCTCTCCAGCATATTAAAAAAACAAACCAGGCATGGTGGTGCATGCCTGTAATCCCAGTACTGGAGAGGCTGAGGCAGGAGGATCACTGTGACTTCCAAGATAGCCTGGGCTACACAGTGAGTTCAAGGCTAGCCTCAAGCAAGACCCTGTCTCAAACAAACAAAAAAATAAAATAAAAAAAAAAAAAAGCTGAAGCTAGACATGGTGGTGGGTGTCTATGGTCCCAACTACTCAAGAGCTGAGGAAGAACTGAGAAAAGTTGAGAAGGACGCATAGAAGAAAAACAGTCAAGAATAAAGATTAAATTGGAACAACCCTAGAATCCCCTAAAAGTTTATTTCCTACTTTATTCAATTATACCTTGAAGAAAAATAATTTGTGATCTTACAAAATCTAATGCTTAGCACATAATATGCATCAAAGTACTTGCTGAGCATACTACTATTCTCATAATCTAAGTTTATAAAAAGTCTACTATGCCAATTATATTCCTTTCCTTCACATTTCTTTATAGAACCTTGGAACCCAAAAGACTTTTAAACTGTCAAGCAGGAGGTAGTGTTTGCTTCTGATTCCTATGTGCTCTTTTCTAGGATAAGCTCAAATTAAACAGACAACTTCTGAGGCAGAGACAAAAATCCTCTACATATGTAAGTATAGATGGATAAATGAGATCTACCTAGATACTAGTGAGTTGGTTTTTTTGTTTTTTTGGTACTGGGGATCGAACTTGTGGTTGTGAGGCAGGTGGCGGGACCACTGAACTAAATCCCCCGCCGGAGTTTCTTTTCTCTTCTTTTCTTTTTTCTTTTCCAGTACCAGGGATTGAACTCAGGACCTTGCGCTGATGAGGGAGGCGTTGGAACCACTGAGCTAAATCCCTGGCCTCCGAGTTTATTTTCTTTTGGTCAAATAAAATGATTTCCCTGATGGTGGAAACTATTCCAAAATATTTCTGCTCTCAAGAATGACACTGTTAGGCTGGGGATTTAGCTCAGTGGTTCCACTGCCTGCCTCGTAACTGAAAGGACCCAAGTTCGATCCCGGGTACCAAAAAAAAGAATGACACTGTTATACCTAAAATGTACCAATAAAAGAATTAAAAAAAAAAAAAAGAAAGAATGACACTGTTGCTAAGTGTGGCCTGTAATCCCCACATTTGCAAGGCAGAGGCAGGAGGATTGCCATGAGTTCAAGGCCAGCCTAGGATACATAGTGAGACTCTGTCTGAAAAAAACAAACAACAAAACAAAACAAAAAACTGATATATGAACACTGGATGCAGAGACTTACAGCTCTGTTCCTAGGCATTATGAAGTAAAGCCAATAAGGGATCATATTTAAACTTGAGGTTAAATCTTAATGCCTGAGTCGGGCATGGCGCTGCCTGTGATCCCAGCACTTAGGAGGCTGAGGCAGGAAGACTGCCATGAGTTCAAAGCCAGCCTGGGCTATACAGTGAGTTCAAAACCAGCCTCAACTACATAGTGAGATCTTGTCTGAAAAAACAAAAAAACATGGGCTGGGGATTTAGCTCAGTGGTGCCGCGGCCTGCCTGGCAAGTGGAATGTCCCAAGTTCAATCCCCAGCAACAAAAAAACAACAACAACAACAACAAAAAACTTAGGGCAAGGGATTTAGCTCAGTAGTTTTCACCACAAGCGCAAGGACCCAAGTTTAATCTCCAGTACCAAAAACAACAAACAAACAAACAAACAAAAACTTAATGCCTGGAAGAATCCTCCATAGAAATCTGCTAAGCTATTTCAGAATACTTACAGATGCAAACATTACAACATTTGAGGACACTTATTGAACCATGTTTAAAGCATCTGTACTAAAATCCCAAACTAAATGATCTCATGCTATTAGTACTTAGTCAATAACTTATAGTAGCATCTCTTATCAACAGTTTCGGAAATCTGTTCAGCTCTAATCTAAAATAATTACCTTTATAATATCAATACTATAAGTAATCAAGTATAAGGAGGAGAAGGGAATAAAGGACAGATAAGAATAAAGCACCACTGGGGCAGGGATTTAGCTCAGTAATGCCACCGCCTGCCTTGCAAGCACAAGGTCCTGAGTTCCATCCCTGGTACCAAAAAAAAAAAAAAAGAATAAAGCACCATTTAGGAAGAGAAGATGGGGAAATTTAAAGAGGAGAGGAGATGATTGCAGAAGTAATAAGTTTTTCCTTCTGTGTAGGTATTAGGGGCCCAGACATTTTCTTTAGCAGCAGCTTAGTGCAGAAGGGCAGGAGGGGCAATGAGTAAATTGAGAAATAACAGGATGTCTGAGGTGCTGTCTCAGTTCTGCTACTAAGGAAATGTGTAATCCTAGGTACATAGGCTTGTTGCTCATTTAGTTTCTGCAAACTGAGAGGGTTGGTGGTCTGGAACCACTGCTTATCTCTTTAGGGGATCTAAAAATTTCCCCAAATTCCCACTGTTCATCCTTTGTGAGTCCAACTCTGGCCCCTTGTCCTAGGAAGAAGCAGATCTGCAAACACCAATATGCATGGAACCCCAGGAGTTTAAGAGAAGCCCCTAATCTCGAGAACCTGAAACTCTTTCAGAATCCACTTCCCCAAGTCTCTTTCCTACAGATTAAAAATTCCTGGCCTAGATATGGCATTCTGGTCACATCAGTACCTGTATGAGTTCTAATATGTTTCTGTAGGTCTCCTGAAGTTTTGAAAGATTTAGTACAGTTATCTTCTGAACACCGATATGGCTTTTCTCCTGTATGAGTTCTGAAATGACTTTTTAATCCATAACCTTTAAGAAAAATTTAAAAGAAATTTAATTACACAATACATCTCTACACATCCTCATTGAGATTAAGCTTCAGGGGCCAGGGATTTAGCTCAGTGGTACCACCGCCTGCCTCGCAAGTGGAAGGTCCCAAGTTCAATCCCCAGGACCAAAAAAAAAAGTTCGAGATTAAGTTTCAGAATATAGCAGATACCAAGGACAAGATACTAGGTGACTACTACAGAGTAACTATTAAAAATGTGTGAGAGTACAGCCTGCTCAGGGCTTTCACATTAAAAATTCAACTACTACCTGCCTTGGAAGCGCAAGGTCCTGAGTCTGATCCCAGGTACAAAAAAAAACCAAAAAAACAAATCGAGTTACATCATTTCATCATCTCTGTTTAGAAGAGACTGCAGTCTGTGTATCTCTTTTTTATTTTTATTTATTTATTTTTTGGTACTAGGGACCTATCTCGGTTCCTTGCGCTTGTGCAGCAGGCCACGAAACCACTGAGCTAAATCCCTGGCCGGTGTATCTCTTTTTTAAAGTGCCCTGTATGTTCACAACTCAAATCCCAAAAGCTGGATTCAAAATAAGAAGTAAGGAACTGAAGTCAGGCCTGCTACCTTTTTACCCTGCCGGATGCATCCCTGGGCAGGCCCCTTCCCACTGCTAAGACCCAATTCTCCATGGTTCCTTAAGGGCTGTACTAAATTTTTTCACATTTATATCCTTTAATAGAGCATTAAAAAGGGGAAAAAAGGGGGGCAATAAAAGCTTGTAGCATCCTTCTGAAAAGCATCTACAAATGGACTAAGCTTATCAAGATGGGAAGCTTAGGGGCCAGGAATTTAGCTCAGTGGTTCCACTGCCTGCCTCACAAGTGCAAGGACCCGAGTTCAATCCCCGATGGGAAGCTTAGGGGACTGCCTGTCTTAAGCAGTTATGAAGAAGCTTCAATTCCTTGGCATAGAAGAATTTAAACAATCTTTGGGAGGTCTGCTTAATAGTTGAGAAGGTCAGTTATTTCAGTCAACTCCAGGATCTCAGGGTTGATTGTGGGTTATTTCAGCCAACTCCAGGATCTCCACATCTTTGTCCTGGAGCATTTGTTTAGTAGCTTCAATCATGACTTCAGTTTCATCTCTGAAACTGCAAATGCCCACCCAATTCTCCCAAGTTTCCTGGTAAATAAGTGTTCCTCTTCTCTAATCCACTTGGGACTTCTCCAGGAACCCTAAGACATCACATATTAAATATGTAATGCACCTCTCATGAGAAAGAAGGCTGTTATAGAGAACCACCAGCTCAAAATTATAATTTCGTCCTTAAGGAAATGTGATACTGACCACTCTAGTTGTGAGTCACAGATTTCTAATGTATGTTTACATGGATTTCTACATCTACCACCTGATCTTCCAAACATAAGCTCCTCCTAGGAAGACACGTTTGAGTGTTAGGGTGTCAGCTTTCATGTCCTTCAATAGATCACCCTTATGTTCTATTGCCAAGCTCTGAACACCTCCATGGCTATGGTCCATCAGACGAAAGTAGATGGAAGCAATTCCAGTGCAGAATGAGGAGGTCACCTTGTCCACAGTTTGTCTACAAACCTTCAGAGGTTGAGCAGGGCCTGAGTTACAACAAGCTTGTCTTTGGAAACAAAGGCATCTAGGATGGATGTTAATAACCTGCAGACATTTTCTATCTCATTGCTAACTGGTCCCATTTGGCAATTTTCTGAAGGCTTAATTTGCTAATTTCAGGGTTGGAATTACTGATCCAGTTCTGAGGAGGATCAAAAATAAACCTGGGAGTGGGTCCTTGAAGAACTTATTTAGAATTCTGGGGGCCAGGGATTTAGCTGAGTGCCACCATGCCTGCCTTGCAAGCACAAGGTCCTGAGTTCAATCCCTGATACCAAAACAAACGAACAAACCAACCCCAGAATTCTGAGGAAGAATATTACTATGATGATACGGTCTTCTGACTTCCTAGAACCTTCCATTAGTAGCTTGAGATAATACAAGGTCTCTGGAAATTGGCAAGTTATGATTCAGAGAATTTTGGCAATGAGGCTGATCCCTATCACGGTAGTACAACATTTCGGGAAATCTGATTCCAGGGCTGGAGATTTAGCTCAATGGCACCGCTCCTGCCTTGCAAGCCCAAGGTCCTGAGCTCGATCCCAGGGTACAAAAAAAAAAATCTGATTCCAGTAATTCTTCTCTTTCAGAGCAGCATCCACCTCTTGTAGTCCAGAGCAATTCAGCAGGACTGGGAGAATTTAGGGCATAAGGAGCCCTGTCCTGTGGCATCACTCTCAGCTGATTGATATGGATGAGTTGAAACACAAGGGCCATTAAGGGCTTGAAGAACAAACTAGGCTACCATTTTCTTTTATGAATCCATGGGCAGGTGGTGCACACCTGTAATCCTAGCACTTGGGAGGCTGAGGCAGGAGGATCATCTCAAGTTCAAAGCTAGCCTGGGCTAGGCAGTGAAGTGTGTGCCAACAAGGTAATAATCTCCAACATTGCATCTTTCATATGTGAGAATTATTTTCATTTAGTTGCCTGTAAATAGTACCTACATCGTACACTCCCTGGTGACCTTCTGGGCATACTATTTCAGAGCCAGTTTCAGTGTGGATGCTGCTTCAGAAGCAGTTTCTTGATCAGATGCAAAGAGTTTCATCAGGAGACACAAGACAAAGTCAGGCAGCAAAGAGGGCAATATGGTTTGTCCTACACTCTGAGCAATTCTAGTTTTGTACTGTTGCAAGATCTTAGATCAGAAGTTGGGAAGCAGTAACTTTTACACTCCTTATACTTTGTAGCTTTATCTTTTTGGATGTCCATACCCTTCCATTTTGCCATGCAGAGGCGGTGATACATCTCCTGGGATGCCTGTACACTGAGGGATCAGTGGGGGAACATGAAAGCGACAGCTCTGCTGCCAGGATACTAAACATAGAGTGTCAGCACTTGTATGTTCCCTGACTTTCCAGGATGCAAAGCTTAACACTGCTGACAATCACCAGCACTCTCTCTTGCAGGTCCAAATTGTCTTCACTCATCCACACAGTCATTTCCTTTAAGATTTGCAGTTGCCAAAGGTCTTTGGACCCTAAGGTCGGAAGTGTCCTCATACAGATAAAATATTTTGATATAAAACTTCCAGGTTCTCAACATCTCCATCAATAGTCCACAGTGTTTTTCCTTCATTAAAACTTGGTAAGGCTAATACCATTTCAAAGGATGACTCTAGATGGGCATGGTGGCACATGCCTATAATTCCAGCACTTGGGAGGCAGAGGCAGGAGGACTGCTGCAAATTGGAGGCCAGCCTGAATGACACTGTAAGTTCAAAACCAGCCTAAATTATATAGCAAGACTCTGTCTTAAAATAAAATAAAATAAGACTTCATTATCTCCAACTGAGTTTCATATTGCTGTTAGGGATCCACAAAGCTGGAGTTGATGGCTGGAATCATAGACTGATGATGCAGCAGACCAGAGCATGCATCCTCCAGGCTGTTGGCTATATGCTCCTCCTCCTCCACACCACAGCTCCCTCTGCTGGGTCTCCCCCTTGAGGGCTGAAACCATGTCTGGCAAGGTCCCTTCCTGGAGGCAGTAGCAACAGACCCTTCTCTTCCTTCTGTGCTCCATGAAATACTACACTAATTAAATTTCATATCAGCTTTTAAAGCTTGACTTTTATTTTTCCTGCTAAGACAAAGCAGAACGTAGCGGTATGTGATGGAGCATGCCTATAAATTCCAGCATTCTGGAAGCCTGAGGCAGGAGGACTGCAAGTCCTAGCCTAGCCTGAGCAATGGTGAGGGCCTATCTCAAAACACAGTAAAATAGGGCCAGGGATATAGCTCAGTGCAAAGGCCCTGGGTTCAATTCCCAGTACAAGACAAAAGAAATAAAATGTAGAGTATGAGTGAAACGCAACAAACACAGGAGACAGGGACATGTTTATGGTGAAAAGTGAAAACAGAGGGAGGGGTCCAGAGCAAGCAGGATAAGCAGTTTAGAGACTCAAAACTGCTCAAGCACCACTGCGGACTAGACAAGGATGAGGGCTAAGTTCTTGTCTCTGTCATTCTCTGCTTGACTCCCTACTGGAACCAAGAAACAAGAAAATTTATGTCTTTACCTGTTGCGAATGCTTTCCCACAGCCCGCATGCTCACACTGATAAGGCCGGTCTCCCGTGTGTGACCTCTCATGGACCTATTATTAAAAACACCAGCATGATTATATTCCCCTTATGTATTCCTTGGATTAAGATGGTCTCAACATACACTTATTTTTTTGTCCCTCACTGTTGAATGATTTTATTGTATGCTTTTATTTTTTTTTTGGTACCGGGGATCGAACTTGGGTCCTTGCGCTTGCACAGCAGGTAGAGAAACCACTGAGCTAAATTCTCAGTCCTGGTTTTGTATTTTTGAGAAAGACTCTTTTGTTTTTGTTTTTTTTTTTGAGACAGACTCTTGCTATGTAGTTCAGGCTGGCCTTGAACTTGTGGTGATCCTCCTGCCTCAGCCTCCCAAGTGCTGGGATTACAGGAGTGTGCCACCATGCCTGGTCTCTTGTATGCTTTTTTTGTTTGTTTGTTTGTTTTTTGGTACCGGGGATGAATTTGGGTCCTTGCGCTTTCGAGGCAGGTGGCAGAACCACTGAACTAAATCCCCGGCCCTCTTGTATGCTTTTTTATTTTCATTTATTTATTTTTTTGGTACCAGGGATCGAACTTGGGACCTTGCACTTGTAAGACAGGCAGCGGAACCACTGAACTAAATTCCTGGCCTCTTGTATGCTTTTTAAAAAAACAACATTTTCATGAAAACTATAGTCTAGAAATTCTCAATACAGACCTGAATTTGAATATTAAGAAGTACTCCTAGGCCGGGAATTTAGCTCAGTGGTTCTGCCGCCTGCCTCACAAGTGCAAGGACCTGAGTTCAATCCCCGGTACCAAAAAAAAAGAAGTACTCATTTTAAATGAAAAACAAGAACATTTAAGGTTTGAGTTTCTCTAAAAGGTCAAAGGTATTTTCATGAAATATATACATGATCAGAACTAGGAACAGAAGGTAGGGTAAAGAATGTTGAGGCTAGCAGGGCATGATGGTACATGCCTGGAATCCCAGCTATTTGGAAGGCAGCTATGCTCACCACTATACCCCCAACGCACACAATCCCAGCTATTTGGGAGGCTGAGGCAGGAGAATCATGAGTTTGAGGCCAGCCTGGGCAATTTAGTGAGACCTAATCTAAAAGAAATTCCCAAAAACAAAAAGTGGAGAATGCTGCTAGAGGCAAAGCTCCACCACTGCCTAGGGCCATGAACACGGGCACCTTTCTAAGCCTCAAAGTCCTCTTTGGACATTGGGAATATAATAGTATCTACCATGGGGGAGGGGCTGACAAATGAGTCATGAGGACAATGGCTGATGGTAAGTGAACCCTTACCACACACCTCATCAGGCCACTCTGTGTAGTACTTTACATGGATGCTACTAACTTACTTAATTCTTCCAACTACTCTGAGAAGAACATACTTTATGATCCAATTTTATAGATAAAGAACTGAGAAGTCAATCAACACACCAAGGTCACACACTATGAAGATATGCAGATGATCTCTAAGGTCACTACTTCAAAGTGCACACTTCCTGTCCCTCTGAAATTATTAAATGAATCTTAGCTATTATTATTAAGAGTCATGGTATAGTCTGTTGTACTTAGCTCAAATATCTGAGAGAACAAATTAACACCCAACTTTTGCTAGGTTCCTGCAAATCACAGTTAACAGAGTAATCACATCTTTCAAATAATTACATAAATTTTGTATTTGGCCAAAGTATTTAGATATACAGAGTCACTACTGTGGGCCCGAGAGGTCCAGGACATTAGAGCTACAGATGAAGAAAATATAGTCTCAGCCCTCAGAGAACTGAGTTTCCAGCACCTGTCCAGGCTTGTGTCTGAGCATGAGCACGAGTCACCATCTGTGTGAATCTACCATATGCCTTGTTAGTACTTATGTCCTAAGCATTCTCATAACTACATACAACACTTCTCTTCTGGATACCTTTAGATGGTGAGCTGTTGTATATAATTTTCCACATCCATCATATTCACATCGGAATGCCTTCTCTCCACTCTGTTGAGATTTAGCAGTTACTCTCGTCGCATGTCCTTGTAGGACAATCTAGATAAAGCAAAAAGGGTAATTTAGATTACTTACATGGAAAGAAAACAGAAGAAATTACAATAAAAAAGACAGAACTGGGGCTGGGGATTTAGCTCAGTGGTGCTACCTCCTGCCTCACAAGCACAAGGTCCTGAGTTCAATCCCTGGTAACAAAAACAAACAAACAAACAAACAAAAGAACTGTACAGTGTTCTGGACTCAGGGCAGGGACTAAGAGTCCCTCTGAGTCAGACCACTTGGCTCCCAGCGAGGTGAGCAGCTCGGGAACAGACAAAAAGGCTGGAGTCACAGATCTATTCCCAGCCTACAAAATCAACCCAAGTCAAAAAAAAAAAAAATCATCAACCCAAGTAGTATCTCCATTGTATGCAAGTATCCCTTGATACATTCAAGGGATGTGTCTATAGGATTGTGTATTTGGTTTTTTTTTTTTTTGGTACCGGGGATCGAACTCAGGTCCTTATACTTTCGCAGCAGGCAGCGAAACCACTGAGCTAAATCCCCGGCCTTTGTGTATGTATTTTGAGACAGGATCTTACTATGTAGCTCAGGCTGGCTCACTATGTAGCCCAGGCTGGCCTCAAATTCATAGAGACTGTCCTGCCTCAGCCTCCTGAGTACTAGGATTGCAGGTGTGCACAAAAAAACCAAAACCTGGGCCTTGGATTTAGCTCAGTGGTTTCACCACCTGCTGCGCAAGCAAAAGGACCTGAGTTCGACCCCTGGTAACAACAACAACAAAAAAAACCCACCAAAACCAAAAACCAAACAAAACAAAATTTAAAAAGGGCTGGGGATGTAGCTCAGTGTGAAGGCCCTGGGTTCAATCCCCAGTACAAATACATATATATATATAAATTTAAAAAGGGGCTAGGGCCAGGATTGGTGGCACATCCCTGTAATCCTAGCACTCAGGAGGTTGAGGCAGAAAGATTGCCATGAGTTTGAGGCCAGCCTGGGCTACATAGTGAACTACATAGTGAAACCCTGTCTCAAAAAATAAAATTAAATAAATAAAAAGGGGCTAGGGATGTAGCTCAGTGGTACAGTGCTTGTCTAGCATGTATGAGTCCCTGAGTTCAAATTTTTCTGCAGAGACTGCAAAAACTAAAAATAAAAAAGAGGCATTAGGATATCTGACTACCACATCATCTCCTGGCTGAATCACTGCAACAACTTCCAAACTCAGAGGCTGCTCCCTACAATGACTAAATTGATTATTTCTTTTTAATTGATTATCTTAAGAGTTAAGTCAGAGCAACTCACTTCTTGGCTTAAAACCTTTTTTTTTGAATCTTTAGTGTTAGAGATTGAGCTCAGGGTCTCATGCATGGTAGCCAAGTGCTCTACCAAGTTATACCCCCAGTTCTTTTTATTGTTTATTTATTTATTTTCCCCCAGTTCTTTTTATTTGAGACAAGGCCTTGTTAAATTGCCCAAGCTGGTCCCCAGCTTAAAATCTTCCTGCCTCTGCCTACTGAGTAGCTAGGATTCTAGGTATTTGCATCACCACATTCTGCTCAGTCTTACAATACACAGAATGTTTGGGTACAATGGAATTATCTTCCCTTTTATAGGAAATGTTTCTAAAGCTCTTTTTCTGCCCTTCCAGGCTAACATTTATATTCTCAATCCCAAATACATGTTTTATCCTACTTACAGTGCGCTTTCTACCTACTATCTTCCACCCTCTCCCTACCTCCCTCCTCCCTACTATGACAGACACTCTGAAATAACGGTTAACAAATGACTGGTTAAATACTTAACTTCATAAAATAAAAAATAAAACACGGTCCTGCCATATTAGGGCTCTCATTCAAACTAGTGAAACTGTCTAGGTTAATGAAGGGTTATACCAGAATTAATACAGTGCTGCACTGGGGGAGGGATGGGGGAAGCTGTGGTGGGAGGAGAGCTTGAGTCTACAAGTCTGAGACTAGCCTGGGCAACACAGTAAGACTCTGTCTCAAAAACAGACACCTTCCTCTCAAAAAATAATACAGGCTAGGCCGGGGATTTAGCTCAGTGGTTTCACCCCCTGCTGTGCAAGCGCAAGGACCCGAGTTCGATCCACAGTACCAAAAAAAAAGAATATAGGCTGGGAAGGGGCACTGTAGTTCAGTGGTGGAAAGCTTTCCTAGCATGTTTGAGGCCCTGGGTTCAATCCCCAGCACCACCAAAAGAAAAAAAAAAAATAATAATAGGGCTGGGGATGTAGCTCAATGGCACCCACCACACCTGCCTTGCAAGTGCAAGGTCCCGAGTTTGATCCCCAGTACCGCAAAAATAAACAAATAAATGAATGAATAAATAATAATTGCAGTCACAAGAGTATTTCCAAACTTCTAACGGAAAATACAAAATGGAGAGAGCTGTAGGGCATGGCAGACTTGTGTGTCTGATACATAACCCAGAAATACCCTTTGTTTTTGTTTTTTGGTACCGGGGATCAAACTTGGGACCTTGTGCTTTTGAGGCAGGTGGCAGACCCACTGAGCTAAATCCCCGGCCCACCAGAAGTACCCTTTGTACCCTCTGTTGGTTTGAACTGGGGATTCTGTCCATTTTTTACCCTAAATTATCTGCAGAGTCATCTTTGTTTTCTACTCCATAGTCATTACCCTAGGCTTGCTTTCATCATTCTCTCCTGTGTACTTATGATTGTACAAATTTCTTTTGGTCCTAATTTTTGTCTTTTCACCTTATACGCCACTATTTTTAGAATTCTCATTGTAAAACAGAGCTCTTTTGACCAGTCCTTTACTTTAAAATTCTAATGTCAGCCAGGCATGGGGGCACACGGCTATAGTCTGTCCCAGCACTGGGGAGGCTGAGGCGGGAGGATCACTGTAAGTTCAAAGCCAGCCTGGGCTACAGAGTGAGACCCTGTCTCAAAAATAAATTAATTAATTAAATAAACTAAATTCCAATGTCTTGGTTTTGCTTTCATTATTTAAGCTAGGTCTTCAGGATAATACTTAAATTTTCTCAAACATGATCCTAAACTTCCCTTTCATTTTCACATTCATTATATTATGTAGGTTACCCTCAAACATAATATTCTCAAATTAAGTTTCTATTTCTTCCAGACACAATTCAAACCTTTCATTATAACACTTCTTCTGCTTGGACAGTTCTTCCTTACCCCTCTTGTAAAAACTTGAAATTTCCCTTGAGAAGTTGAGGCAGGAGAATTACTGTGAGTTCAAGACCAGCCTGAACTATATTGTGAGATCTGTCTCAAACAAAACCAAACTGTTCAAATTTCATCACTAGAAGGGTACTTCTAGGTTATGTATCTGATATATGTAGTATGATTTAAAAATATGGTGAATGTCGGGCCGGGGATTTAGCTCAAAAAAAAAAAAGGTGAATGTTTACTAGTTTTTTCTTTTAAATTTGTTACAGTAAAAGACACACTGCTACTAATCACCTTCAAAATACTACCCCCTTGCTCTGAGCACACTTATCCTAATATTCTTGCCACATTCTGAAGCAGTTCTGGAAGACTTCTTTCATGTCTTTACTTGTGTTGTTGTGAATGCCCTGATGTTCTGAACCAATTCAAAATGTTTACCTTTCAAGGTGCTTTTGACTGTGGGGAAGAGCCAGAAGTTGCATGGTACCAGATCTATGAATAAGTGAGTGAAGACACAGAGTAATGTTTTATGAGCCTGCCTTTTGGGTGGCACGCAACAGGATTCACTATAGTTTTGATGACACCAAGTAAAAACACTTAGAACTTCCAGAACTGCTTCAGAAAGTGACAGGAATGATGGAATAAATGTGTTTGAAGCAAGGGGAAGTACTTGAGGGGAGGTTGATGGCAATGTGTCTTTTTTTTTTTTTTGGTACTGGGGATCAAACTCGGGACCTTGTGCCTTCAAGGAAGGTGGTGGAACCACTGAGCTAAATCCCTGGCCTGGCAATGTGTCTTTAACTGTAATCAATTTTTTAAAATCTAAGCATTCACTGTATATTTCAATCATACCTCATATTATCAGAAGTGTTAAGTCAAAAGGGCAATTTTGAAGATAAAACTAGTAAAACACTAATCAGCTTCTAAAATCAAGCACCAAACTAGATAGATAGCATAGGTCCTTTTGATTTTAACATTCTTAGAAGTCCCATTCTTAGAAGTTGCATTCTAAGGAGATGCAATCCGAGTGGTGAATACAGGACTGGGTTTAAGGCTGAATTCCAGAGACCTTGGCAATGAAAAGGTGGAGTGCTCATAAGTGAAACCCTGCAGTGGGTGCTTTGCATAGACTAATTGGTCCCACATGACCACTCAATGAATTAAACATTATCTATGATCCACAAATAAGAAAAATGAGATTCAGAGTGGTTTAAGTAATGTAAACTTGCCCTTGATCAAAAGGTGTGAAGTGAGATTTGAGGTGACTGGCTCTTAAAACTCAAGGTGTTAACCAAGCAGGCTTCAGGAAGCAGTAGCCCAGTGGTGTATAACTGGCAGAGCTTATGAAGTTGGAGAGTGAGAGACTGGCAGAACTGAGGATAACCATTGCATTTTACTGTCTATTTCCATCTTAGAATCCTACTTACTAAAAACACACGAGTGGGCCGGGGATTTAGCTCAGTGGTTCCGGTGCCTGCCTCTCAAGTGCAAGGTCCCGAGTTCGATCCCCAGTACCAAAAAAAAAAAAAAAAAGGCACAAGAGATGTAATGTTTAGTATTTGATGTGTATAAATGTGTATATTATGGTGTAAATAATTTATATTTTCGTGGGTTTTTTTTTGTTTTTTGTGGGGTTTTTTTGTACCGGGGATTGAACTCAGGTCCTTGTGCTTTCGAGGCAGGCGGCGGAACCACTGAGCTAAATCCCCGGCCCAATAATTTATATATTCTTTCTTTTTTTTTTTTTTTGTGGTACTGGAGATTGAACTCAGGACCTTGTGGTTGCAAGGCAGGCATGGTGCCAGAGCTAAATCCCTGGCCCTTCCTTTGCTATAATTTGACCTAAAAAAACAAAGGGAAATTTTGAGCTGGGCATGGGTAACAAACCTAAGAAAGCATGGCTATAAACAGCCATGTGCAAACTCAATGAAGACACACAGGAGGCTGGTCTGCAATGAAGAGGAAGCAGAGATGTTAAGAAAGAGACTTATTGCGGCCTCCTGGAGGTGCTGGGAGGGAGAACAAAAAGGAGTGAGGTTTAGCCTCCTTTGCATTTCTAGTTCCTGTGAGGCCTAGCTGTTAGGTAGTTCCTGATCCCACCTTCCTGTAAACTCTGCCATATTCTTACAACATATCTTGTTTTTTTGTGAGCTTGTTAGAAACTTTTGTGTGTTTTCCAATTATTAGGGCTCTGATTAAAACACTGCCAAATCAAAGAAGTTTGGTCTCTAATGTAAATAAAATTAGTTTGAATGAATCGTTGGAAAATCACAGAAAGGCTGGGATCACAGGTGCTTGCCTATAATTCCAGTACTCCAGAAGCTCAGGCAGGAAGATATCAATTTCAAGACTATCCTACCCCATCTAGCAGCTCAAGGCTGGCTTGAACTACATAGCGAGACCTGTCTCAAGAACAAACAAACAAACAAAAAAACCCAAGAGGAAAGACCTGGTATTCTAACATAACATGTAAAGCATTAAAATAACATTTATATAATGGTTACAAATTTACAAATAGTATTCCCTTGAATTACATGAATGTCTCATTTGATTTTCATAACCTCATGAGATATGGAAGGCAAAGATTATCATTGATCTTGTGACAGATAAGAACTCTCAGATCTAGAGAAGTTACACAACTTGCCTAAAGTCACAGAGGTACTGATACCAAAGTAGAAACTCAACCAGGTTTTTTGTTTTCTTATTATAAATTATATGCTATTTCAATACTGTGTTACATTTTCAACTCAATTAAGGGCAGAGTACCCACAGGGCAATGAAAACAGACTCAGTTGGTCCCCACCACCATCCTCAGTTCTTACATCTGAACACACAGGTTTTTTTTGGTACCGGGGATCGAACTCGGATCTTTGCACTTGTGCAGCAGGCGGCGAAACCACTGAGCTAAATCCCCGGCCCCACACAGGTATTTTTAATTGATTATTTTAGGTTTCTGTTTTCATATTCAGCACTACTGACATTTAAGAGGATAACTCTGTTGTGAGGCTCTCCTACACCTTGTGGGACATCTACCCTCTAGATGACAAGCAGTACTTCCCCAGTTGTGACACCCAAAATCATCTCCAAACACTGCCAAATCCTGGGGCAAAAATGCTTCCACATGAGAACTACGTTTAAAATACTCTAGAAAACAAAGGTCAATTTAGTAGTACAAATAACATCTTCATACTACAGATGAAAGAATTCTAAACTATAAACATAACAATTTTTTTAAAAACCCTTCATCTTAGAAACAAGACCACAGGCCAGGTGTGGTGAGAGCATGACTGTAATCCCAGCACTTCGGAGTCTGAGGCAGGAGAATCACCACGAGTTTGAGGCCAGCCCAGGCTACATAGCGAGACTCTATCTCAAAAAACCAAAACTAAGCCCCTTTTTTCCCTCTTCACTATTTTCTTCCTTTTTCTTTTCTCTTTAAACTTCAGTCCATTTTTCCTTTCACCCTTTTTTCCCTTTACGCTTTTTCCTGTTCCCACTGCCATCCTGTGATCTTTAATAAATGTGGATATTATTACATACTAAAAAAAAAAAAGAAATGAGACCACAAAAAAATCTATTGCATTAGCTACTTGTCTCTCTAAAGTTCAGCTAAACACAGAGCTATGACTACATAAGCAATTCCTGCCAGAAATAAAAGGAACACCAAAGCATAACATCAAAAGCTATAGGTTCTGGGGCCGGGGATTTAGCTCAGTAGCACCGTGACTGCCTTGCAAGCACAAGGTCTTGAGTACAGCACAAAAAAAGAAGTTATAGGTTCTTCTTATTTAATACTTTAGTTCTTACTCCTTACAATTTTTTTTTTGGTACCGGGGATCAAACTTGGGTCCTTCCACTTCCGAGGCAGGCGCTGGAACCACTGAGCTAAATCCCCAGCCCTTATTTAATACTTTAGGATAGGCATTTTTTTTTTTTTTAAATACTACATACTGGGCTTTCAGCCTCCACTATCATAAATACCCAATCATTTCAAAGAATAATTTTTGTTTTGTTTTGTTTTTTTGGTACCGGAGATCAAACTCGGGACCTTGCCCTTTCGAGGCAGGTGCCGGATCCACTGAGCTAAATCCTCAGCCCTGTTGTTTTGTTTTGAAATAGGGTCTTGCTATGTAGTTCAGGCTGGCCCGGAACTCAATGGCAATCCTCCTGCTTCAGCCTCCTGAGTCCTGGGATTACAGGCATGTGCCACCATGCCAGGCTCAGAGAATTATTTTATTTTTTTATTTCAGAAGTTCTGTTTTGGTGGTGGAACCACTGTGGAAATCAGTGTGGAGTTTCTTAAAAAACTAAAACTAGAGGTTCCATTTGACTCAGGTATACCTCTTCTTGGTATCTTCCTGAAGGAATTAAAAGCATCATACCACAGCAATATATGTACACCCATGTTTATAGCAGCACAGTTTGTAATAGCTAAATCTTGGAAACAGCCCAAATGCCCATCAACTGATGAGTGGATAAAGAAGATATGGACTTTTTATACAATAGAGTACTGTTTTGCCATAAAGAAAGGTGAGCTTCAGATATTTATAGCTAAATGGATGGACCTTGAGCTCATACTCTTAAGTGAAATAAATAGGACACACATGTTTAAATACCGCATTGTTTCTCTGGTGTGAGAAACTGTGGAAATAAGGGCTGAGATGTATAATGGATGTTGGGAAATGGGAAGAAAGTGTTCAAATGGGAAGGGTAAGAAGGGAGGAGGGAGGGAGAAAGGAAGGAACAAGGAAAAAGTGAAAATAGAAGGAAAAAATGGAAACAAAGCTTTCATACATAGGGAGGTGAGGGGGCTTGAGGGGGAAATGGGATAAAATAAAACTTATTAATTTAAAAATAATAATAAAGGGGCAGGGATTTAGCTCAGTGGTGTCGCTGCCTGCCTTGCAAGTCCAAAGTCCTGAGTTTGACCCCCAGTACCACAAAAAAAAAACCCCAAAACAAAAACCAAATAATAATAATAAAGGGCCAGGAA